GAAGACAACAATATGCAATGTATTAATTATTGAAACTGTCCTACCAATCAGTTTTAAAACTGTCTCATCACTAATTGTTTCTCAATAAAATTAATTAAAAATAAATAAAGCAATAAAAATAAATTTATATATGCAAAAAAAAAAAGAAACATCAGTGTCTGGTGTTTGTTTTTCCTAATTTTTAATATGGAAAGTCAGTGCACCTTTGAGGGAAGATCCAAGAATGACTTTGCTGGAAAAAAATCTGAGTGGATAGCTATCTCTAGATAGTAGGTGTAATACAGATTTGGAGAGTTGTTGTTGCTGTTGTTTTAAGAATAAAATAGCACTTGGCTACCAAGTGAAAAACTCAGTGTTGAGTCTTGTTTCTCATACACACAAAAATTAAGTTTCTACAAAAGGTGGGCCTCATTTTATTCCTGAAACAAGGACTTGAAGAATTTTTTTTTAACATTGGAGAAGTGCTGTTTTGCAGAATGTTTTCTCCCTTAATTTCACTCAAATCTTGCATAAGAATACAACAAGAAAGTGAGCTTCTTTAAAGCTTCATTCATTATTTACAATTTTTATCCCTGTACTCAGACGGCTGCTGTTTTGAAACCTTTGCAAGGCAATAAAATTCTTTCCAAGTTAAAAATTTTTGCATGTTGAAGGACTATTTATTCATTTTATTTATTTTACAATTTAAGATCTGAATTCCTTGTATCATTTCCTTATGATCATGTCAGACTTGAATGAAGAGGTTCAGGCAGGAAACAGTCATTTTTGACTTTTACTGTTTTTAAAGAGTAAAAGATATTTATTCGGGGGAAGAAAGCTTCTGTCCAAGAGAGAGACAGAAGAGGACCCTGAGCGGGTTGTCCCCGGGATGTGACCTTTATACTTTTACTTAAAACTTATCCTTTCAGACTGCTCATGTTCCTCCTTTGACCACAAACTGCAATGAACAAAATTTCCAGCTTCCATTATGTGTGCGTAATAGACTGTATTCACCTTAATTTTCTGTTAATGGTAAATTTTTCAAATGTGAAGACCTTTATTTCATTCATTTAACAAGTTGAGTATCTGTCATGATTTAAAACTTTTTTTTGGCTCATGTCAGAGTTTAGAGTATTTAAGGTGAGAAAGACACTGCCTCAGCATTTGCATTTGTTTTTTTTTTTTTTTAAATTATTGATTGAACTCAGGCCTTTGTGCTTTCCAGGGAAGCACTTATTCCACTGAGCCATCTCCCCGGCCCAATCTTTTTTTTTGGTAGCAGGGATTGAACTCAGGACCCTGCACTTGCCAGGCAAGAGCTTATTCTACTGAGCTATCTCCCCGGCCCTTGTGTTGGGCATTAAACCCAGGGCCATCTACATTTAGGGAAGGTTTGCACACTGAGATCCCTATCCTTTCCTCACTTTTTCTCTGAGTCTGTGGTACCTGGAGCCTCCCTCAGCTCAGTCACCTCCTGAAACCTTATCTAGAGCTGTACAAAAGTTCGAGGGCAGCCAAGCATGGTAGCACAGTTAATTTTAGCTCCTTGGGAGGCCAGGGCAGAAGAAGTAAAGTTTGAGGCCAAGCTGGTTAACTTAGCAGACCCTATCTTCAAATTAAAAATAAAAGGGCTTTGGATTTAGCTTAGATCACCATAGTTTCAAAACAAAAACAAAATACAAATTTCAAGGTCCACCATAACATGTGTGCTGAAGAGACCCCATGGGACAAAGTATCTGAAGGCTCAGGGCACTTGGCAAACAAAAAGCACTGGGTGCTAAAACTCACCTTGGGGACTGAAGTCAAGAGGACGCGGCACAGCAATGCTCTGACAGGCCCCCCTCCTTCTTCTGGGACTCAGAGTGCTTGGGGTTTCGTGGATGTGCCTTAGATGCAGAAGGCTCAGGGCTCCCCTGGAAGGGGCAGTGTTTTGGGGCTCCCTGGAAGGACTCCTGGGATGGGAAGCTTCCTGGTGATGGTGGCTGTGGTCCTCCTCCAATGTGAGTCACAAACTACACCCTTGCAGCCAGCAGGACCCCAACCGCTTTGACCGTGACCGCCTCTTCAGTGCTGTCTCTCGGGGTGCTCCTGAGGATCTAGCTGGGCTACCAGAGTACTTGCGCCGGACCAGCAAGTACCTCACCGACTCGGAGTACACAGGTAGCCCCTGCTGGGTGATGTCCTTCGTGACCTGCACCCCGTTGTCTGAGACGTGGCTGAGTGGGTGGGCCAGAGCCATGGTCAGAACACAGAGTCCAGCCTCTTAGCAGCCCTCCTGCTGGAGTGGCTCTGGTGGGGTAGGGTGGTGCAAATGGGAATGAGCCAGGTTACCCCCATTCTTGGCTGTGTCTCCTGCTTCCACACAGCCTGCCTCTGCACCCCAACCCGCCCCATGGTATTTGCTACACTGATGGTCTAAGTGCTGTTTTTTTCTCTCTCTTGTAAGTAGCATTATTGAGATGTAGGACTGACCAGATAGCTCAGCAGATGAAAGTGCCTGTAATGGCAGAGTGTGGTGGCGGGGGTTCAATACTGGGCGTGTGTGCTGTGTTGGCCCCACCCCGGGGCACACTGAGATGGCTATTGAGACTGGGAGTGGTGGCACACACCTGTAATCCCAGCGCTTGAGAGGCTGAAAACAGGAGGGTCACTATGAATCTGATCTACGTAATGAGGCCCTGTAGACACTGTCCTAAATACATTAAAAAAATGAGAGAGATCTATAATAGACATATAATATACTTCACTGATCTCAGAATATCTATGCCCAAAATGTCATTATGGTTTGTACTAATTAGAAAACTAACACATGTGTACCCTGGCCAATTTGAATGCTAAGCAAATGTATAAGGTAAACACAGCTCTTCAATGGTTAAGGATACAACTTTTCACACTTTCTTAGTACATTAAATATATGTTTAAATAAATGGGTTGCCATTACATGTATGGTACATAAATTAGTATGTATGATACATAAATGTTTATTACATAAATTAGAAGTGTGCTTCCCCTTAATAGCTTATACTTCATTTTCTTTTTAATTTTTTTTTTTTTTTTTTTTTCGGAACCGGGGATTGAACTCAGGCCCTTGTGCTTGCTAGGGAAGCGCTTATTCCACTGAGCCATCTCCCTGGCCCCTTCTTTTTAAATTTTTAAAAAAATGTATTTGGCTGTTACTGGGTCTTACTGCGCAGCTTGGACTTGTGGTGATCTTCCTTCTTTCAGTCTCCCCAGTGCTGGGATTACTGGTGTGGACAACCATGCCCAGACTCTGGCCTGATCAACCTACACTGGGGCGGGCCTAGCCCGCCATGTGGTGTTGGGTATCAAACCACAGTCCTGGCACTTGCCTAAGTTTGCCAAAGTAAGCACTTTAGTCCATTGAGCTTTTTTGCTAGCCCCCAAATACTTCCTTTTTTGTCTGTCTGTCTGTCTGTCTGTCTGTCTGTCTATCTGTCTGTCTTTGTTTCTTGGGAAAGAGTTTCCCCGTGTAGTTCAGGCTGTCTTGACCTCACTACTGAGCCCAGGCTGGTGTCCAATTCACGGCAATGCTCCTGACTCAGCCTTCCAGGTGCTGGGATTGCAGGTGTGTGCCACCGTGCCTAGCAACATCTCATGCATCTTGTACCACTTCGCGTTTCAGTACACTACAAGCTTCTGACTACAGAGTGACTTTTCCCTTGTGTAGATGTTCCCTAATAGCTTATCAATCCTTTTTCAATAGCCCTGTGCTTTGTTTGTATTCTTGGATATCAACTGACTGTGTTCCCAGCCTTCCCTTGTGCTAAGCACTTTGTTTCCATTGTGCCCTCAGATACTTATAATAACCCTGGAATATTCTCATTTTTCTTTTTAAGTTTTTGGATCTTCTTTTTCTTCTTCTTCTTCTTCTTCTTTTTTTAAAATTAGCTGCTTTTGTCTTTTTTTCCTCCATAATTTCTCATTTTTCAAAGGGGAAAAAACTGAGATTAAGAGAGGCCCAGTGATGAAAGCTATATCTCCTAAATTTTATAAGTCTACTACAGTTATATGTAAGAGGACATCCTTATTCTTAGGAATTCAACTCTGAACTGGTAAGAAGTAAAAAGGGCATCTGTGCAGAAATGTATATGAGAGAAAATTAGAGCAAATGTAGCAATGCTAAGAACCGAGCGCTTAGGTAACTGATGTACAAGAGTGGCTGTGCTCCCACAATTCTCATGAGCAGGAATGCTTTTTAAACTCTGAAGGGGTACTGGGGCTTGGGCTTCGTGCAGAAGCTGATGGGTCCCCAGCCGCTCCAGGTCTGAGCACTGCAGTGCCCGCTCTCTCCTCCCTTCTCCCACAGAGGGCTCCACGGGCAAGACGTGCCTGATGAAGGCAGTGCTGAACCTTCAGGATGGGGTCAACGCCTGCGTCCTGCCACTGCTGCAGATCGACAGAGACTCCGGCAACCCCCGGCCACTGGTCAACGCCCAGTGCACAGATGAGTACTACCAAGGTCACAGTGCCCTGCACATTGCCATTGAGAAGAGGAGCCTGCAGTGTGTCAAGCTCCTGGTGGAAAATGGAGCCGATGTGCATGCCCGGGCTTGTGGACGCTTCTTCCAGAAGAGACAAGGAACTTGCTTCTACTTTGGTGAGTGAGCTCTTCTTGGAGACAGAAAGGCACGGTATAGGTACACTCTCCTTGCATCTCCCAACATCCACAATCTAAAGGAAGAAACATTTATTTTGGCACATAATTTGTAGAGGTTTCAGTCCATAGTTAGCTGGCTCCAAGGCAGGGCAACGTGGTTGACGGGCATCTCAGAGAGGCAATAGCTCATGGCCTGTTGGTGGGAAGCAGAGAGAGATCAAGAGGATGAGGAAGAGACTAAACCCGGCCATGCCCCCAGGGACCTAGCTCACTGGATCAGATCCTGCCTCCCAACAGCAAGTCAGCTATAAAGCCCCATAATCCAGTCCCCTTCAAAAGCCCCACCTAGGAACACAGAGGGCTTTTGGGGGCAATCTAGCCATAAACCAGAATGAAGGGCTCGTCCAAAGTAACACAGTTAATGTGTGGAAGAGTCAACACTTAAACCAAGGCTGCTTGACCCTGACACCCAGCTTCTAACTACTAGGCTGCCTCAGAAAGCAATTTGTCTCAGAAATGCTTTTATCCTGCTTGATCAAGAAGGCTCAATAGGGCTGGGTTGGGGCTGGGAGCGATGCTAGATGTTGACCAGGGGAGGTGGGGTGCCGCTCAGTGGTAGAGAACCTCTTAGCATGTGTAACCAAAGGCCCTGGGTTACAAGCCTAACCTCAGATAAGGAGAAGCATTCAGTCAGGCAGCGGCTGGAATCAGAAGCAATGTGCCTTTGTTCTGTCAAAGAAGAGCAAGAGCCAGGGGACGGGTTCTGTATGTCCAGATAGTGAGGTGGCCTGAGCCACTTCCCAGAGGCCTGGCCTTCCACCACAGAAGCAGGAAGAGAAGGCATTGGAAGCTCAGATGCCCAAGGCCCAGGCTACTCCTTTGGCCCACAGGTGAGCTGCCCCTCTCTCTGGCTGCATGCACCAAGCAGTGGGATGTGGTGAGCTATCTCCTGGAGAACCCGTACCAGCCCGCCAACCTGCAGGCTGCTGACTCCCTGGGCAACACTGTTCTGCACTCCCTGGTGATGATCGCAGACAACTCTGAGGAGAACAGCGAGCTGGTGATCTGCATGTACGACAAACTCCTGAGGGCAGGGGCCCGCCTCTGCCCCACTGTGCAGCTTGAGGACATCCAAAACCTGCAGGGTCTCACGCCCTTGAAGCTGGCTGCCAAGGAGGGCAAAATTGAGGTAAGCCATGATCCCCCTTCTCCAGGCAGCAGGCAGACTCACCTCAAAATTTCTGCAGGAGGGCAGGAGGGTAGGAAGGCAGGAGGGTGGGAGGGTAGGAGGGCAGGTGGCTGGTGTCTCTACTTTTTGAGATAACAGCCCTGCTAGTAAGCACATTTCCATTCTGTATCTCTGTGTTAGCTTTCTGTTAATATGACAAAGTACCTGGCACACTCCTGTTATCCTAGCCATTTGGGACAAGTGTGCTCAAAGGGAAAGGAGAAGGAAAAACTTGCTTTGGCTCTTGGTGTCAGAGGTTTCAGTCTATCGTTGATACTGTTGCTTTGGGTCTGTGGTAAGGAAGAATACCAGTTCATGAGGAGTGGCACCTGTCTATAATCTTTGCACTTGTAAGCTGAAGCTGGAGGGTGGTGCAAATTTGAAGCCCAGCTGAGTGACACAGTGAGACCTTGGCTAAAAAAAAAAAAAAAAAAAAAGGAGAAGGAGGGAAGGGAGCAATACAGGCAGTTCATGGTGGACCAAATGGCTACTGTGGTGGGCATTACTAGGGGTGAGACAGGTGCAGTTCGAGTCCCAGCATCTTCTCAAGGGCGTGCCCTAATTACTTAAGTAATTTGTAGTAGATTGCGCCTCTGAGACTTTGTACCACCTCCGTGTAGGGTGACAGCTGGTGACCAGGCTTTTAAGAATGGGAATATTTAAGCTACCTATCTTTAAGAACCTTTGTCCTATGTGTGCTTATTTATAAGATATATATGGTCCACTGAATTAGTATATTGTACTATAAAGCACTGAGACTACTTTTATAGTTATGTGAGTCTTTGTTAGCAGACAATATTTTCTTTTTTCTTTTCAGAGAGGACTTCAGTATGTATTTCAGACTGGTTTGAGCTCAGTATACAGCCTGGGCTGGCTTGCCTGGTGTTCCTCCTGCCTCAGCCTCCCAAGTGCTGGAAGTATAGGCTGTGTTACCAGATCCAGCAAGACAGTATTTTCATGTCTTCAAAGTTGGCATATTTAGCTATTAGTTTTGTTAGT